AGTTATACATCTGTGAGGACCAAAAATCTTGGTTGTGAGTGACAAAATCTTCATTTCCACCATAATTTAAAAAGAAATTATTTTTTAAAAATCCTAAAATTTGAAATCCTAGATTATGCTTAATGTCTAACATATGTGTCTGTCTAAGATCTGCTGACCAGAACTTGTTAATGGTCCCTCGAACCAGTTTTAGGATGAGAGGTGATAGGTACTTCCAAGCTGTAGCACCCAGACTGTGGAATGCTCTACCATTTTACCTGTGTTTGGTGAACTCCATGGATGATTTTAAAAGACAACTAAAAACATTCTTTTTTTTAATCAAGCATTTTAGACTCATTGGTATGATTGTATTTATTTTGTCTATATGTGTTTTATATTGTGCTGTATTGTATTTTATGCCTCATGCTATCATTGTATTTATTTTGCCTATATGTATTTTATATGATGCTGATTTGCATTCTATGCCTCATATTGTAGAGCACTTTGACGCTTGTCTGAGAAAGGAGCTATATAAATAAACCTTTCTTACTATGTGTGTACCTAAGTGGTACGGGGGGGGGGGGGGGGGGGGGGGGGGGGGGGGCAACATGGTGGAAAGTAATTATACTATGGAATGGTGAAGATTCTTTGAGTAATAAAAAGACACTTCAGGAAGCTGCTAATAACAATACAAACACACGTTTGTTTTACTGCTAGAAAAAGGAGACAGATTCTAATTGACTCAAAACATTTTTTTTCATATATGGTAGAGTGGGACAGAACAAGGAAATTAATTTTAGCTTAAAGCAGAGAGGTGAGGAGGGGAGACGGTGTCCAGTGACCGAAAAGAAATGTAACCAAAACACAGCAAATTAAAAAAATAAAAAGAGGCTCTGCACAAGACTGGAACACACAAAAGCAGAGTTTAATGTAAAAAAAGAAACAAGACAAAATTAGGAATTAAAACTAGAAATATTATTTTGCTCACGTGATACACTCAATACTAAGTCTAAATAGAACCCAAGCCATCCAATTCCCTTACGGCAAAAAGCAGCAGGTACAATTCAAGCCATGTGGCAGAAGTATAAGCAGACCATCTAAACTATTATAAATTAATATTAATTAATACAAAACCAAACTACAAAAAAGACTAATTCTATCATTGCCTTCATGCTGATCAGTTTCAAGCAGTATGGACAGATGTGCAGGCAGAATGATACATGAAGACACAGCAGCTGCACTAGACAATCTTTTCACATAAAGAGGAGGCAAAAAACTGCCTTCTAGGCCTGGAATGAAAAAAGTCACTGGATCGACCCGTATAAGAAGTGAACACAAAGGAGGGAAGGCTAAACCATAATTTTAAAAACTACATAAATTACACTTGCGTATGCTTTAAGAACGAATAGGCAGCAAAACACATTCGCAACCCTTCCTGGGGACCAGTTATCAAAAGCAGAGGAAGCATCATGGTGTAGGCAAATTGCCACACAGAAGGCAATGTCTTTTGTACAGAAAGCTTTGCTGGCAGTCTCAAAGTGGCAGCACATTATTTATGCTTCTACACTATGATGTAAATGACAGACCTTTCTCAGTTTTCTAAGTAGGGGGACTTGCACAATCAGTAGCTGACTAAATACTTTTGCTCCACTGTATGTGTACGTGTGGTATATGGCCTCCCTGAATACAGATCTTACTGTAGTAAGAAAGGCAATTGATGGCTCCCTTTACAGTTTTTAGAGAGCCTTTTTTTTTTTTGTAGTTATTTCTTGGGTTTCTTTTCAGGGCCTCTTAAGAATCTCAGTATAGGCCTGATTGTTTTGCATGTTAATCAGTTGTTTTTGTGTAGCCCTGTGCATCTAACTTTGTCTGCTGGCAAATGGTGCAAAAAATCAATTTAGTAAGTTTGCCCTCATGAAGAGCTAAATCAGCCATCCCCAAAGCTGGTCCTTGAGGGTCGCTGTCCTGCAGGTTTTAGAGGTTTCCCTGCTCCAGCACAGCTGATTTACATTAATGGTTGACAGGCTTTTACCTAACTGCAATCATCAGAATCAGCTGTGCTACAGACTCTCCTGTATTCTCTTGTGAGCTTGAGAGTGAAATCCAATATAATTCCAACAACAACTTGTAGAAGATGAGGAAAATCATCTTTTATTTTTCCCAATCATGGTTGTAGTGTTGTGTATTAATCTGCACTAATCATAAGATAAAATAAAGTTAATGTTTTATAAGTTTAAAGTTGTTTTCCCAAACACTGTTATAAGAGCAATTCGAGGCCAGAGAGGAGAAAAGCAAAGTAGTGAGTATGTGTAGCTGTTGCACCTGGCCCCAATAGGAGTGAAGTCTGCAGGACAACGCAGGGTTGAGGCCCCTTAGTGATAAGAAAGCACACTCAATAAAAATGAAATATTTGACATATCAAGGTTGCCCAGCTCAGCAAAATTTGGCCATACAACTTGTGATAAATAGAGTTGTTATTTTCAAGGCACACGGAGCGGTAATGGTCCCAGAAAGGGTGATGCTTTGACTAAGAGACGAGGGGGGAGCAGTAGGCCAGACTGACATGGCTTGAAGCAAGGGAAAGATGTGTTCTGACATGTTTGTGACTAAACCGTCATAAGTTTCTGATTTGAATGCACCAGATGTTTTCATGGCCTGAGAGATTGCTCTCACAAGAATGAGATGTGTCTATGAATGTCACCGTGTTTTGCAGATAAATATCAATGTGACCTTTACCAAAGACTGAAATATGTTCTGAAGGGGGTTTTCCACCGATAAGAAATGTATAAAAGGGAGCTGTCTTCACCAGTTGTCCAGCTTCGGCTCACCGGTGACCAGCTCAGTGTGAATGTGTTGTGTTTAGCAATAAACACACTGGACCCGGACTCAGCTGCCCCTGCCTGAATTTTTTGATCTTGGTTTGAGTCTTTTTCTGCTTTTTAAGAACTTTGAATTTTTATAAAACTTAGCTTCATTTTTAAGTCGTCAAGAAGAGAATTATAGACGACAGTAGGGTATGTCCCACATTGTGCCAAACAGCTCTCTGCTCTTTATTTCTCTTTCCCTATTGATATATTCCAATAATGCAGATGAATCATAGGGAAAAAAATGTAGTTAATTGATTTTAATTTCTTATAATGCCAGTAGCTGGATTTAATGCCCCTGGATTTAATTTTCTATTAAAAATTAGAAAGTTTCCATAGTTGTTCCTCCTCGCCCAGCATTTGCTCAATCAGTCATTTAATAAACTAGAAATACAAAATTATTTTCAAAGCGTTAAGTTGCCCTGAGTTTACTTTTGTTTTGAAAGGGCTCTATATATTTAAACTTAACTGAAGTGAAAATAAACACTGTAAGTATGATCTTGGGCCTTATGTGGATGAAACAGTGACAATGTTTGACACCCTGGTCACCAAATGAGAGGAGTCTAAACCCCAAAGCCACATTCAGGATATTGTTGACATACAGTGTCACAAAGTATCAGGAATGCCGTTAGGGTTTTGCAGCTTGATCATGATTCTCAGCTTTGCTCTGCAGATAAACATTTTTTCTAAGACCAAAAAAAGTGAATAAGCAAAGACAGAAAATTCCCATTTAGCATCATATACCAAATTATTCCATAATGAATTTGCCCAAACTCTCATGCAAGTTTTGATTTTGATGCTGTACCTTTTGTCTAAGTCTCACATAGTACACTTGAGCAGTAAACTGCATTAACTACAGCTTCAAGTGGAACATGTAATTGCTAAATTTTAAAAACTATCTAAAGTGTAATGTAGCTTAGGTTCTATATAAATGATTATTACAGCTTAACAGCAGGGCATCCCTGAAAATCATTTTCCTCTTCTCGCCAGCTGCAATTAATGTGTATTGTTTTGATGAGCTGCTTGCAAAAGTGCTCCTATGTTTGCATAGTTAAATTCAATTAAATTAAAAGAAAATATTTAAAAAATATTATATTAATCCCAAAGTAAAATTAATCTTGACAAAATGTAACATACTATCAAGAGGGATAATTGATGTAGGGGGGACAGAAGGGGGTGAAAAATAAAGGTACACTTAGTAACCAATGTTTAGCCATACAGTTAATGCTATATTAAAATGCAATAAAGAGGAGGAGCATGTTTTCTTCACAGTGACATTTTTTCCACAAGCTGATCACCGAGCATTATAACGTCATGGAATTATGTACATTATTTGCCTGAAAATACTATAGATGTGCTGTATAATACATACCAACCAGTTCTGTAATATGATTCAAATTAGATTTGTTGGAGGTTCTTAAAGATTTCCTCTTGGTCCAAGCGTTATTTTATTCCACTTTCTAGTCTTTCATCCAGCTAAGCAACATCTGGGGGGTTGTTTTTTTTTTGTCTGGTTAGAAGTGTATAAATGGCACTAGTAATGAGTTCCAGAGCTTTAATTTGCAGTTTAGTAATAGTTCTATTCCTTTCTCATATTTTATTTCTTAATCATTCCTCCTTTTCCTAGCCAGAAATATTCTTTTTTAGTAAATGGTTCAAGTAAGGCACCAACAGTATTTTTCTGTTGTTTAGATTTGTTCCTACACCCCTCTTCACTCTTTTCCACTGCCTCCTCCCCTTCTGAATAGCCTTTACTGACTGTGTGCCCCTCACCACATCTGAGAAGCATATGGTGGAGAAAAAAAAGTTTTCTTTCCTATATTTCCATTTAGACAGCCCAAAAAAAGCTGGGTTGCTAAAGGGCCAAAGGAATCAGGGATTCAAAAATAAGATCATAAGCGAGAATGTTTCTTACAGAAATAGAAAAAATATTCTCCAATCACACACAGAAAAATGCAAAAATAGGACATTCAAAATCAAGAAGTGAAAGAAAGAAAAACAGAGCAACTGAAAGTAGATAGAAAAAGTAAGAGAGGGTGTGGGGGATGGAGGGACAGGAGGGAAAGTAATGCCAACTGGCATACTTTGACTTATTCAGCTCAGCTGCAGAAGTCTAAGGGAGCCTGAGCTCCAAACCACATAGACCTAGATCCTTCCTGCACGCTCCACATCTGCAGCATTTGGTTCTAATAAAAGAAGGAGAGCATGCAGTGTAGTTAAAAGCCACTGTTTTGGTTGTGTGTGCTGGTACTTCATAGTATATGCTCATTTCTGTTAGACATAAGAAGGAAGAGCTCAACTATGGATTTGCACAATGGAGTATCATATTGATTTCTACAAACACTTCCCCTGGCTCAGAAGGGTAAGGTTATTTTATTACACTTCTGTAACAGAAATAGGTTTGAAGTTTTTTTTTTATTACCAAAGTTACTCCATCAACTGTTTCCAAAGAACTCACTCAGAGTTATTTGCAATCTTTTTGAGAAGAATGGGATTACCTGGCAGTGGGCGATGTACTTGTTTACTGTGGCATGCCAGTTAATTCACCAAATCCCTACCCCCTGTAGAGCCAGTAAACTTGACCCATATCTTTTTCCAGGTCTTTGTTCCCCCCCCCCCCCCCCCCCCCCCCCCCCTGTTTGGGTCTATTAATAATTATTAATCAAAGAACTGTAATATTGAGTGAGCAACTAATTTTGAACAGCTACCATTAATCATATATTTATATCAATAAGTGAAAGAGTAACATAATAATCATTTGATTTCCAGGCTGACAAAAAAAAAAAAAAAGTCTTCTTTCTGACTGACTTGTAACCCGAAATAAAGTTTTCCTTTCACCCCAATAATCTACTGTGATAGGCATCAGCCCTCTCCATGCCCCCTCTTGGATAGGTTATCCTATACAATGGATAAATGTTTGGATGGATGGATGGCTGGATGGATGGCTGGATGGATGGCTGGATGGATGGATGATGGATGGATGGATGGATGGATGGATGGATGGATGGATGAACTTAACAGAGGAAACAAAACCCTGCAGTGCTTTAGATGTTTTTTGTTTTTTTTTGTTGTTTTTTTTTGTCTGTGCTTTTGTGGTCATCCCTCCTGGATAAGTTTTCAATGCCATATTTTCTTGATTTGTCTTTATTGGCTGTGAATCTAGTTTGCTGGAATCCTCTAACCTTAGAAAAGCTTTATAATATTTACCAGATGAGTAGATTTCCTATTGGACTTTTAATTTCTTTAGACTGAGGCACCATGTGTTTTGATTTATATCATCAGACAGGCTTCACATAGTGATATCTTTATTCTAAAGTTTCTACACATCCCGCTTTAATTAGTTTTCAGTTGTTATCTGAAAACTGTTTTGTACTATAGTACTTTTTTTGATCATCTGCAACATTTTGTAAAATAATACAAACACTTTCTAACAGTTCTGCACTGCATTGATATATATTCTCACTTTTTAAATACCTAAAACATAATAAATTTAAACAATTATAAAGGATAGGTAGACTTTTGAAATCTTGAGCTCAATGTTTTTGATGAGACACACAGGCTGCAAGAAGTATGGGCCAACAAGGTAAGGTAACTGGAAAACTTATTTTACTGTCCCTAACCTGGCTATGATAACCCACAAAAACAACACACGTTACCCAGTCTTTTCCAAATGAATTCACGGCATGGTCATAAATAATTAATGCTGTAGTTGCTTTCAATAGAATGTGTATGGTCTCTTCAAACTGCCAAAATATATATAATAGTGTTCAACAGCGTTGAAATGTTTTACAAACCACAAGAGCTTATCTGTTAAATCGGAGAAAAGCTTCCTTATGGGTATTTGACCAACTTTGCCTTAAGCCCAGTTATGCAAAAATTTCAAGCCAGTTCACTTACTTACCTTTCATTAAAAACAATTTACTTTAATTCAATTCAAAAACACCTCTTACTTTTTTGTGTCAAATTTCTTCCATTTCATTTAATGTGAGATTTCACTGAGTAAACAAGCTACACTGACCTAATCCACTTCTTCCCCCCTCAAACCAGTATAAAATGTGGTACACAAAGTTTTAATGCTGGATTAGGATTTGTAAACCTCTTAAAGCCTCCAAAGAGTTCTTGCACTGCAAGAAGTTTAAGGTTTCTGCTTCTAAAACCTAAAGACTGATAAAAAAGAAAACTGAAGACCCGCTCAGCAACTTTTCTTTGCAGAAGACACTAAAATGTATTCATTCTCTATTTTTGACAGGAGAATCTCAGCTCAAACAACAACGGTGAGTCTCACCAAGACTGGTTATCCCGCCTAGAGGGAGACAAAGAGTCACTAGTTCTGCAGGTGGGATACTGCTGCTTTGGTCTTTGGAAATACAGTGAAAGAATGAATAAATAATAAAAAAGGAGTTTCCTACTATGTTTATTTCCTCTGCATCTGAAAATAGAGTGGAAAAACATGGCAACTGATTCAACACTTTGAATGTGTCTCAGAGAAGAGAAAAAAAAAAGAAAGTCTGGAAGGCCAAACAAAAAAGATGTATGGCATTTGTATATTGCAAATCTTGCATGAGTTTCTGTTCCACAAGTCCGGTGAGACAAGTGTCATAAAGTGGGTTTGGTGCTGTTAGGATACTAGAATCTCCTGTTTTGACTGATAACTTGAAGTTGTTGAGCAAGTGCTTGGTAGACAAGCTCAGGCTTGCACCATTATGTGGCAAGTTGCATGTAGGTGTGTTTGTATGCCAGTGTAAGTTTAGAGCAGATACCTTTTAGCACTTATTGTGGGTCTTACAGGAAGAAAACCAATTCTTTAGAAATGTAAATTCAGTCTAAGTACTCATAAGTATATTGTCAGTTTCAGCATCAAAGGGCAACATTTGCTTGCTACAGTAGTTTTAGATTTTTTGCTAATTTCTATACATTAGGCACAAACAGTAAAAAAATATATTTAATTCACTCTTTAATGGAAAGTGTCATTTTTATTTAATCAAAAAAAAAAAAAAAAAAAAAAAAAAATATATATATATATATATATATATATATATATATATATATATATATATATATATATTTTTTTTTTTTTTTTTTATTAAAAATGCATCCAGGTGCAGTGGGTAGCACTGCTGCCTTGTAGCAAGAAGGTTCTGGGTTTGATTCCCAGCCTGGGGTCTTTCTGCATGGAGTTTGCATGTTCTCCCTGAGCATGCGTGGGTTCTCTCTGGATACTCTGGCTTCCTCTCACAGTCCACAAACATGACTGTTAGGTTAGTTTGCTTCTCTAAATTCTCATTAGGTGTGAGTGTGAATGGTTGTTTGTCCTGTTTGTCTCTGTGTTGCTCTGCGATAGAATGGCTTCCCTGTCCAGGGTTTATCCTGCCTCTCCCCCTTAGACAGTAGTTTTAGATTTTTTGCTAATTTCTATACATTAGGCACAAACAGTAAAAAAATACATTTAATTCACTCTTTAATGGAAAGTGTCATTTTTATTTAATAAAAAAAAAAAAAAAAAAAAAAAAAAAAAATATATATATATATATATATATATATATATATATATATATATATATATATATATATATATATATATATATATATATATATATATATATATTAGTGCTGTCAATCGATTAAATTTTTTTAATCGCGATTAATCGCATCAATGCCTGAGTTAACTCGCGATTAATCGCATTTTAATCGCAAATTTTTTTTCTGATTGAAAATCATTTAAATACTCTCGATGACATACAAAAAATACATACAGGCTAGGTTTGTGCCAATGTTCTTTTTTTTAAATGAGAACAGGTCACAGATACTGATTTATGCCATAGAAACATATGGCAAGAAGATGGCATGTAGCAAAAAATAACAAATATGTAGCCAAAAAAAGGCCCTGAAAACAGGCTGATGTAAAAGACAGTCTTTACAGTTAATACAGTCTTTTGAACAAAGACAAGCATTTTACCCTACTGCTATAAAATGTAGTAGAGTTAACATTAGATGTTAATTAACCAAGATAATAATGAACAATTTTCAATCAATACATCAAAATCAATAGACCGACATCACTAGATGGAGGTAGTCTATGAAAGTTACTTTTCAGACTCTTAACAAAAATGAGAACACACACACACACACACACACACACCCACACACACACCGACACACCCACCCACACACACACACACGATACCGACCTGTGACAGCAAGAGTGCCGTAGCAGATTCCATTTCACCTCAGTAATCTGTTTTCTCAGCGTATTTCAGGTTGCTACTAGTTACCAGACACTCAACTTGTTTGTTGGTGGTGGGGCTTAAAGAAAAGGCACTAGCGTCACCCAGTGTATGAGCGTCTTTTTCCCTTGAGGAGCTCCGCTCTGGAAGCCTATGAGAAATGCATACACTGGGGGAAAATAGCCCCGCCTTCCCGCAGGCTGCAGCGGGATGTACTTGGAAAATTTTACCATAAAACCACATAGCGTTAATCTCACGTTAAAAAAATTATCGCCGTTAAAATGGCCTCGCGTTAACGCGATAATAACGCGATAATTTTGACAGCACTAATATATATATATATATATATATATATATATATATATATTTTATTAAAAATGCATCCAGGTGCAGTGGGTAGCACTGCTGCCTTGTAGCAAGAAGGTTCTGGGTTTGATTCCCAGCCTGGGGTCTTTCTGCATGGAGTTTGCATGTTCTCCCTGAGCATGCGTGGGTTCTCTCCGGATACTCTGGCTTCCTCTCACAGTCCACAAACATGACTGTTAGGTTAGTTTGCTTCTCTAAATTCTCATTAGGTGTGAGTGTGAATGGTTGTTTGTCCTGTTTGTCTCTGTGTTGCCCTGCGATAGAATGGCTTCCCTGTCCAGGGCTTATCCTGCCTCTCCCCCTTAGACAGCTTGAGATAGGCACAAGCACCCCTCGAGACCCTGCTAGGGAAAAGCTTGATGGAAAAATGGATGGCTGGATGAAAATGCATCCATTGGTTGTACAGCAGAATAAAATGTGTTTTCACCCATTTAACATTTTTCAAATCTCTTTGTAAAAGCTGTTTATTGGTAAAAGGTGGCCTCTCATCCATCTCTTGAAAAGGAAGGCTTATCATTATTTGAGGCAATCGGTGTACATTTTATACATCCACTGTTAGAAAACTGTATCCTCCAGAACCCGAGTACCTCTTCCACAGAGAACAGGGTTTATCAGATTGAAAAAGCAAGATTTGTTGATGGACTTTTTACTTATTTCCAACAAACAAGTGTAAAACCAATTAATTTAACTTGTTGCTCCAACAATTTAAACATGAGAAGTCGAAGAAAATAACCTGTTGTTCAACTTTGCAGATGGCAATGAGAATAAAATGCTTGGAATCCCTTGGCATGGGCTACAACTGTGCAATCTAATTTGAGGATAGTAGTATCTATCTGCAATCTATGTTCTAAAAAATATTTTGGTTTGTAATATTTATTTTGACATACAAAATCCCACATAGGTGAGTGTATTGACAGACCAGGTGGAGGCTCAAGGAGTAAAGATCCATGATTTGGAGAGTTCCTTGATGGAGCATCAACACAAACTCATCTGTACAGAGGAGATGCTACATCAGGTAGATGCCAAAATAACTTTGACTTATACTGATCTGTCTTGCATACACTGAAAAAAAGATGTGTTAAAGATGACTAAAATAAGAAAAGCCTGATGTTAAATATAACACTAATTTGAAAACAAAAAAAAATTGTTCCATCTTCTAAGCTACAACAGGGCATGAATATAGTCCATCTCTTTTAAACATACTAATTTCTCTGTAGTTTCCTGTGTTTCTCTGCCTCACATTTAGAAATTCTTTTCTTGGATTCCAGTGACAGTGGCTTTAGGATACCTTGACTACAAAAATATTTAAGATGCTCAGACTCTTTCCTGTAGAGTTTTAGCTCTTGGTGCCTGTCTGGTTTATGCAGGGCTAAACTCACCCGTCTGGGCAGGAGATTAACTGAGCAGCAAGCCACACCCCCCAACTGGTAACAACCATGACTGCTCACATGCAGGCGTCTGGAGAGAAGGAGAGAGACGAGAAAGACAGCAGAGGGAGGGATACGGGGAAAAAAACAAGGAAGGGAGAAACAGCTGTAAAAAGGTGGAAAAATAGTAAGGAAAAGAAGAATGCTCCTGCTGTTGAAGTTGAATGTGCTCTGTTGGCATTTAGTTGTTTGCTTCAGTCTTCAAAAAGTTTGTTAGAAGCTACTGGATGGACAGGGTGGATGAAACCTTATCCCACTTGAACTTGGAGACATTGCTTGCATGAAGGCATTACGGGTAGACACTGGATAAACCAGGTATTCGTTTACTTTCTTATGTTGCAACTCTTGCAAAATCTCAACTTTAGCCTGAAGGGAAAACAAACAATTAATTCAAAAACTGGTTTATAACTTTGTCTCTTTTACAGAAACCTAATTTAAGTTTTCTTTTTGTTAAAGGGTCAGTTTCTTGGAGATGTGGTCGAGGCTTTGAACTTGAGCTTTAAATATTTTCCTGGTGACAGTTAAACTTTTCCATGCGCTCTCTAAAGGGGGCCAAGATCTTTTGGAGAAAAAAGCAAACACTCAAAATCCTTATCTCCACTAAAGTTTCAAGCTCATTTCTGGACATTCAGCACCTGCTTGGCATGAACCAAATTAGAAATACATCTACCCCCATGGTCTGGTGTAACTGATGGCTACAAAGCCTTTGGTTATCTACAGTATCTTACCGATCTGTTAAATTGTGATTTCTCAGTTTTAAAAAGGAGGTCATTCATATACGGAGGACAGGGAAATGCACCTGTCAAAGATATTTTGATAATCTGTCAATGAATGTCTTGCATGCTTTTTCTTGGTCTAACCCCCTCCCTCCTCTCTGCTATGTGCTCTGAGCGAGCTGCGAAATAGGCATTATAAATAGTGGTCATGAGTTGTGTATATTTAGCCAACCAAACAGCTTCAGAAACCACTGTGGTTTGTGTGGATAGGGCTGTCACTAGATAGGTGGTAGCTTGCTGTGCCTCACACTCATGCTGCCTTTGTAGAGAAAGCACTGTATATTGTATATAATTGAAGGGATATATGGCTGCACCTCTCTGTCTTTTTTCCCACTCATGCTGTGTGTCATTGACGACAGGAGCTCGTGCATAGGATGTCCCTCGAGAAGCAAAAGCTGAATCTTGTAGGGGAGGTTTCTAATCTGAAACTGAAGCTGGCCGACATGGAGGGAAAACAAGTTCATTCGAATGTGAGGCAAGACAAAGCAGAGGTGAGACTGAAGTAGACTGATATAAGTTTGTCATTTTCACATAAACTTAATGCCTGTATATAAAAAAAAGTTTATTTGAGCACATGTACTTAATTAGTAATTGACTTATAGCAAAGCTAATAACTACATATTTTGTCCAGTGCAATGAAGGGGCTTTCTTTTTAAATTCTCTAAAGCTTGTTTTTTTTAGATGAAGGTCTTTAATAATTAGAAATTTAAACATGGCTCTGATACAAATGACATGGCTTAAAATAATAATCTGCTTATCATTCTGAAGCAATTCACTCAACTGTTGATTTTATAGAAGCCTTTAAACACTTACAGACTCACAGTGGAAAAATAAAATCACCCAAATACTGCTTTTATTATTCCTTTTATGAATTAGATTTAAATTTTTTCCAGAGTTTAACCAGCTTATGTGCTCAACATTTATGTTTTAGGATGTGTTATGTTACCGCCTGACTTCCTGAAGTCTAGAAATTGAAAGCAGAACTTTAAACAGGCAGGATACCACAGTGTAAATACTTAGTCAAAAAGCTAATTGTCAAAAGATATCTTATCCTCAGTTTAAAATAGTTCAAAAAGTGTTGTATTGTTTGATAGCCCAAATATGTGAGGGTTTTGTTATTAGTGCAAATTGTGGTCTCAGGAGAGTTTTAAAATAGAATCCCATTTTAAATGAATATTTCCACATTTTTTATTTTTTTTAAATAATTGGAACGGGATTATTTTTTTAATGGAAGTTTTTGTTTTTAAGTCCAAAATAATATTACACCAGCTATACCTTTACCACCGGCTTTGACTTAGACCAAATATACTCCTTTCATCACAATAATTGTCCTCCATGTTCTTCGCTTATTACATAAACCTGTCCTCACATATGCATGGCTGTATGTACACACAAACAAGTGTTTGGGGGGGGCTCTTGGCTCTGAAGCAAACAAGCTCATGTTTAAAATTAGATATGGAGGCCCTCCATATCATTTGTCATAACTGCTGTACTGGACCCTAAGTAAAAAATGTTCTGTCCACAGTCCAGGCAAAACCAACAGCTCTCTTTTATTAAAAATACAAAAAATGTTTTGGACAAACAAATGTTATCTTATATTTGAATATTAGCACCAACGCGTTTTCCAATATGCATGCCTTTAGATACTGTATCAGTTTTAATTGTAGCCATTTGATTTTAGCTACAGTTAAAAAAAAACAAAAAAAAAAAAAAAAAACATGTTGATTTTTTAGAATGTATAAAAGAGACAAAACAAACCAAGCAATGAAAAAAAAAGTTCAGGGATCAGCAACCTTTACAACCCTGGGAGCCATTTTGCCTTCAGTCCAGCAAAGCAACATTTATTTAGATCCCCAAAAAATAATTCAGAGCAAATTAGCTTTAAAGTTTACCTAATATAATTTTATAGTATTATTATGAAGGTTAAATACATTTTCCTCAAAGGGACATTACATTTTTAATGAAATTTACAAAAAAAAAGGCAGTAGTTTTCAACCCAATGCTCTTCATAGAAATGGTATTTTACATAAAATGCCTAGAAGACACTGCTAACGCTAGCAGTTTTCAGTTACTAAAACAAGTGAAAATTTTAGACCTGTCTGAAATTTCTTTAGATTTTTTTTTGGTTTGTTTAGAAATTAATGTAATTTAACAGCATAGACTTTTAAAAAATACAGTATGTACAAGTCCAGTAAGTTTCTCCTTTTTCTAAATGCTATATTTTTTTTCCTTTTCTTCTCACTCATATCTTTCAGACTGTAGTGAATTTCATTAGTGAACTGCAGGAGCAGATGTGTCAGTTTCAGAAGGAGATCAATAGCAAGATCCAGGAGAAAAAGCCCTCAGAGATCTTGACTGACAGCAGGTTTCCAGCGGTGTGCTCTGAGTCTGCCATAAGCCGAGGCAAAAACCTCCCCACATGCTATGATGGACCCTCAGGGGGTATGCACAGGACAGATGGGGCTCCAGACAGACCTTTGGGGAGCCCAAGAGAGGGTAGCTCAGATGCAGAGCAGCCATGCCACTGTGGAGAAGAAAGAGTAGGCATAGTTCAACTGCATGGCTTTTACTGTTGGAACTAAATGGATCTTCTCAATGTGTTGTCTCAATGTTTTGTCTTCTATAACTTTTATCTAATAGTTTAAGTAGCTTTGAATTTAGCTTAATAAACAGAGCAATACCCTTCTTTTCTAAATGAATGTACAATTTCAAGAATCTTTAATAAAAGCATTTTATTAGTAATAACAATGGGCATCTTTATGACAGCAGCTGGATATAAAGCCTGATAAAATGCTTCCTGTTTTTAGGTTTTAATTAAAGAAGTTAGAATTCTCAAGGACAAAATACAGCATCTGGAGGACCAGAAGCTACAGTATGAAAGGAAGCTCAAGGCTACCAAGGTAAACTATCTGTTACAGATACACCATGAGCCCAAATTTTACAGTTAATTCTCCATTCCACTCTTCTGACTGTAGTCCTGTCTCATGATTTTTCCACTAAGCTAATCCCTCTGTCATGCACATTCTTATTCTCTTTTATTTACCTTTTCTCTTTGTCATGCAATATACATAGAATTAATAATTCTTGGTGTATTTCAATTAGCATATTTCATCTCTTCACACTTGCTTTTACGATTGACTTTTTGCTCTTCATAGTTTATTTAAGTTAATTAAAATATACATTCATGTCAATTGAACATTTTACTCTTCAAATATTTTTTTCAAAATGTTATTTAATTATCACATTGGTAAAGATATTACATTTTAAACATTTTGAGACATTCTATTTTCTTTTACCAGCACTCTGTGGGATTATAGGGATTTGCTGTAGTTTTGATGTCATCAGATAGACTGTTCACAGTGCTTTTGTTAGAGAGGAACACTCCAAGATGGCTGTGCTATTAGGAAGTAAATACAGAATGAGGTTCATGAAAGAAAAAAAAAAAGTTAGAGGCTGGAGTTGGATTTACATGAACAACTAATGGGAGTTTTGAAGTTTTTGTGCAACCAAAATATATCTTATTAATATAAAACCTAGTTGTCTTCTTACCAGTATATCAGCTATATTCTTCTATTTTCATTGTTGATTCAAAGAGCTGTCTCATTTAACTTTACTTTTAGGACTCAAAAGGAGTTAAGCGTAAACTTAATCTCCTGTATCTTATTTTGAAACAAACTGTAAACTCTGGGATGATTTTGTTCAACATTTTGTACAGCAGAATTTGGAGGATACATTTTCTTTTTTGCTTTGTTTGGGATGTATCATAAATGAAAGAGGGGGAAAAAAAATAATCAAAACAGGGCTCTAAGCATTGGGACACACTAGCCTGGCCAGCTAGAATGACATGCGAGCTGACCTAGGATTTAGGATTTTAAATCCATTTATGAGCCTATGTATCATTGATAGTAAATGTTCATGATATAGATATTTTCTTTTGAATAAACCTTTGTGTAAATGGTGCTAATATTCTTTACTGTACAACCTCAGACAGAGATCAACAGCCTTCAGCAACTTCTGCTCAGTAAGAATGCAGAGATTGAGAGCTTGCATACTCAGTTGCTGGCCAGACCTCCTCTGACCACAGAAATCTCAACCAGAGGTGAGCAAACCATTCATGCACATTCAAGCCATGAGTGACATACCAGTGTAAACAAATTCATAGATAAAGAGAGTTATCCTATAAAAAAATGCCTTGACCAAATATAAACTGTGTTTTGAGGGTATCTGTGTCTGTCCCTCTCAGAGGAGATGTACAGGAAGAGGCTATACACTGAATGTAAGACTATGCAGCACTAAATTAAAAATCCTTTGGGACCTGTCTACTTTTAATTTAATGTTCCTGCCTTTTTCCTTGGGTCCTTTTCTTAATTATACTTTTTATTTCCTTCTGCTTTAAGGGACGCCTTTGAAAATGAAAAATGTTTACAGTAAACTACTTTTTAACTCTTCTTCATTGGGTTTATATCTTGTATTAAGAATCAGTCTTTATTCATCAAATATTGTTTCTGGGCTGTTGATTGTTTAAATTTAAAGTAATTTATTGCACATGTTGATTATTGCAATTAATGCATGGAAATATATATAAAAAAAATCTCTCTACAGACCTAAATAGGCCAAGCTTAGTTTTGCAGTAAGCAGTTCCCAAAAACTTATTTGAGTGATGTGTAGAGATGTTAAAACTAATGAAGACATTTTGGCCAAACATTATCATAAGAAAGTGATCTAAAACTTGCTGGCATATCCTTTCTTTTCTTATCTACTTTTTCAGTTGAAGGATCTGTATGTACAGAACATGAACAGCTGCCAAAATAGAATAATAAAAAGCTTTATTCTTTTTTTGTTACCAAGATCAAGAACTTCAAAGACTTCGAAGTGGAATGAAGTCGCTGATGGCTGCCAATGATGAAAAGGTAAGAAATTATGTGAAAGCAGTTGGTCAAAACTAAGCCATGATGGCAACACATCACATTAATGTATAAATTTATTTCAACTTTGTATGAGCAAAGACCAAATTTTTTCAAATGCCTGAAAGTAGCTGCTTTTAGACCCTGTTATTTCTTAGAGGTTCCTCCCTCTGACCATTTATAGCACAGAGGGTCTTTTGTATTCTTCCACTCAGACTATCTTGCACTTAAAGCATTTGCAGACAGACTTGCATGTGGCCCACTGCTGAGAACCTGCACATGGACACACACACCCTGATACAAGTCTTTTTTAGACTAGCCACAATTAAGCAGGCTTTGCTTTGCCAAGCTTAATTTTGGAGTGAGCAGCATTAAGAGAATTTTGGTAAAATCATGACTGGCACCACTTCAAAAAACACACACTGTGCAGCTGGTTGCCATAAAATACAGTTTAAAGTGGGGCCTAGGTCTAACCCCTCTCTGTCCATTACTTTGATGTAAAGGCCATACTGTGGAAGAGTAATGTTTGGGTGTATCACACACCAGTGGTTTAAAACCAGCAGTGGGATTTCATGCTTTCAAACTTTTAACAAATATCCTAATAGGTTTATGTTGACTTACTTAAAAGCTCCCTGCTGTGTTTTCTGCAGGACAGACAGATTGAGGAGCTAAATCTACTCCTGAATCAGTGCAGACAGTTCAAAGAGGTTACTCACATCTCAAGGCAAGGTAATGGGATTATTTATTATTTTATATGAGTTACTGGGTTTCTCCCCATATGATGTATAATGTTTAATCCCTCCTTATGTTGTGGAAGGGCCATCTGCTATTCGTTCCTTGTCGAATGGTCGAACTGCTTCAAGTAGCAGCGAGGAAGGAAACCAGGTGCTGACGAGGACTGTTGACTCTGCCAGTATAAAATCTGATGATGGGAAGTCTGAAGTGAGTGAGCAAACATTAAAGAAATCCTATTTATTTTAATGTTTGCATTAGAGCTAGTTGACTATGTCGTCCATAAATATGCTTTGTGTGATTTAATTTTTTTGAACCATGACAGGTGTCAACAAGTAGTTTGTCCTCCCAACAAACATCATTTCAGTCAGTCCAGAAAGATAATGATTCCAGGTAAATCACTACTTTTGAAACCAGTTACTCTATTTGGGATCTTTCTGAGTACACTGTGTTTCTCTTTACAGAACAGAGCCACAGACTTTCACAAGCAGCTTGAATGACATGACAAATGGACCTTCACCAAAGGTATCTTCTGGTATTTGTGTTGTATTTACCTTAAACTTGAAATGAAAGAAACAGGCTTCTATCATGGACAGTTTTGTTTGTGCTATACCTTTACACTCCTTGTGTGTTTAATATTTTTTATCTGTAAGTAAAAAACATGACAAGCATTACTTAATACATGAAAAGTGTCAACAAATATTTTTTGTAATTTTCATATTCTATGGTCTATTTCTGTGTGGGCCACATTTGTCTTAAGCGGCATCTTATATTTGATAAATGTGTTATGAATTTGAATCCTGTAATTAGCTTTTGTGTCCAAATAGTTCAGCTTTAGACTGATCTGTACAAAGAATATTTATCTGCAGAAGTCCTGGTCTATGTCAGCTTTGTGCACAATATTTATCATTGTACAGACATCTAGTGTACTTTTGAATAAACAGTGCCCTTTGACTAATTATTTTAGGTTTTGCAGCATACTCATAGGGCAAAATGTAACAGTAAAGGTGTTTAAATGTCTAAAGTAATTTAAATTCATCAGTATTAATAAGTAATTTTCTTCCTTTTTTCATATTTCAAATTTGTGAATAGTTTCTCCATGGTGAAATGAGTGAAGGGAAAAGTCAGCCTCTGCCTCTGAATTCAGCAGTCCTGGAACAAAATGAAAATGGAGATAAAGATACTCAAAGTCAACAAAATCCAGATCGATGTGAAGATGGAGACTCTTGCCATAGTAAGTGCATAGTAAAAAAATAAAAATCACCAGATTGTTACTTAGGATATGATAGGCTGCACTCTTTAATACGATTTGGCATAGGATCTCTGAGTGGTCTAGTAATTCCCATGAGAGCAGACAAGATTCATATTTGGAGCTATAACCACTCTCTTCTGACCAGACGACCACTGTACGCTTGATCACAGCTAATTGCAGAGGCTCCTGTCAGAGCAGAAGGATCATGGGACAGGGTTGATTACCCAACCCAACCTCTTCCTTGCATGGACTGACCACATTCAGCTCAGCTCCACCCTTCCTTGATGTGACCGACCAGTTTTAAATCCAGGCACACCCTGTTATCTTGCTGAAACATTTTCACTGACAGACGTGATTATGAAGATCATACCTTGGAAATGACCCAAAATTGTTCATTTCTCTATTTACCCCGTCACTTGCAACCTGTACCCATCAAAACATTTTAAAATGCTACCAAACATGTTTCCCATTTATGAAATATAGAAAGAAAATCTAGCCCTAGATTCACTTATCATCAGCAAGATATTCTCAGAAACATTGCCTAAACTACAGGAAATAGATATAATCTTTACTCAGATGTCTTCAATCAAGAGCATTATTTTGGCAGTACACTGCTGAAGCTTAGTCTGCTCTGCTTCTACTCTGAGCAAAGTATTTTTTTAACAACACAAACACATCTTCAAAGGAAAAAAAAAAGTGGTATTTTTAGGAAGCAAACAATCTGCATCCTCTTTGTCCTCAGTAACTGTGGTTTTTTTCTAACCTCTTATAGAAAACTTTGAGAAAGCCCATGACTGTAAAACCAGTGAGAATTCCCCTGCTGATTGTGAGCCGCGTGTTCAGCCTGGCCAGCGAGCTATTGGATCTCCTGAATATATGAAGAACAATAGGAGCTTCAAGAGATTCTGGGGAAAGTAAGTAAAGAGACACAAAACAAGTAAACAATCTTCACTCACTTTAGAAGCAAGTCCTATTATTTATTACATTTTTCATAAATTTTTTTTTACTTTTTATATGCTGATGAAGGTTCTCAGTCATCCAGGTCATAGTCATTCTGGGTGTTCACATTCTGGATAAAGAAAATAGGTGGTTTGAGAGGGGCGTGAAGGAAGCCATCTATGTGAAGAGAGAAAAACCAACTTTAAACAGAGATGGTGGACTCAGATTCCAGCTTCCAAAAACAATTCAATTCAATCATAGACATGATCCCTTCTAGATATCACCAAACCCCCCACCCCATCACAGAGGAACGAGGGACCTACACGCTCCGGCCGGTGAACAATACCTCCTTAACGACTGACTCTTAACAATCATAGACAGGTTTCAGGTATTACAGGAGACAATCCCCCCCTTAACGGCAATCCCCCCCCTTTAACGACCGACCCTCAGAATCATAGACAGGTTTCAGATATTAGTCTAATGATGGAACCAAACGACCAATTCATCGGTTACCATTGCATGTTTCCAAGCAATACAAGGCTTTGTCTATATAAGACTCAAACTCACTGCGGAACCAGACATTTGAATTCAGAAAGCTTCCTGGAGAGGTGGCGAAACGTCTTCAAATCTTGGAAACCAAGTCCAGTGGATATTTTTTGAATTTTTACAGATTTACTCTTTATAAATAAGCATGGGTAAAAAAAAATATATATATATAGCAAGCACTGTATAGTAACAGAAAAAAAAAAAAAATAATCCCTGTCTGTTGCTCTGCTTTCCTGCTGCTTTCCACCATCTATCCCTGACAGCAGGAGCTCTGAAACATACAGTATATTATTACTTACCATACTAACTAAAAGATCAGAATTGAGCGTTAAGGCCTGCAGTGTGAATGTAGCCACACAATAATGCCTGCCCCCACCGCATCACAACAAGCACATACTTTTCTCATCAACTTTGTGGACCTTTCCATTGACTTCCATTAATTTCTAAAGCTTAACCGTGTCTTGCCCTAGTCCTAACCATTATGGGTTCATACCTAAACCTAACCCCAAGCCCAACCTAAACTCACTCCTGTTAAAGATAGGCTCTATTTATGCACCCTGATGCTCTATCTCTTCAGTTTTTTTCCCTGAAAAGAGATAATTCGGGACAAACTCTTAAAATAACACTTCATAACTTATATATATATATAAAATACCCAGAAGATATGACAACAGATTCTAATGAAAATTATAATCTTACTCAGATCAGAGAACTTGCTTAGAGTTTACAGAATGACTGCTCATTGCTGCTCACCTCCGGGGTCACTGCACTTTAACAGTTAAAAAGGCATTTTATACATCTCCAGTCTGCCACATCTTCATATTTTACATCATACACGTTAGCAGATGAGTAGACATCCATGCCTCCAGCCTTATCAAAATATTACACTTCGTTCTTAGATGAAGGACGGCGCTCTCATTCCATTTCCAAATCTGTGCCACGTACAGAATGAAGATTATAATTATATCCAGACAGAGGTACTGTCTTAATTAGATTAACTATTGTGGAAAATATCAGTTCTGACATGCAACAGGCAGCCAATACCAAGGTGTAATAATCTCACCTATCATCAATGATAATTGTCCTAATGCTCCTTAGTCCTAAACGTGACCCCAGACCCAAAAACAGCAATTCCCCTTGTGGGATCCAGGCATAGGACCCAACAAAGAGCAGCTAGTCAACAACATGCCATTTTTCCAGAAAATAGGCCCCACAATATTACCGAAAAACAAGAACACACACACACGATTGTATTTCTATTCATATTGAGACTCTACATGAACTTAAATACATTTTAGTTACTGCATTTAAACCTAACCCTGACATTTTCCATAACCCTAACCATTATCAGCATATTCCTAACCCTAACCTTAACTTGATTAACACCATACCTCTAAACGGACTCTCTAAGTTATAAATGGGGTCAGCACATTAGGACCCTTCGGTCTCCATGGACTTCCATTCATGTTGCATTCTTTTCTAACCAAGACCATTACCCTAACCATTACAGAAACATACCTAACCTTAATCCTAACCTAAACTCAATTCATAGCTTAGTCTTAAACCCAACACCCATCCCAAGAAGATAACCTTTCCTCATGGGGACCAGTCATTGGTCCCCACAAGTATAAATCAGAATAATGTGGCATATTCCTGGGAAATTGTCCCTACAAGGTGACAAAATATGGTCACTAACACTCACACAGAGACAATTATCAAGTGTCACTATTTCAGTGGGAACTTTCCATTGACTTTATTTATTTGCAGGTGATTTCTACAGCCCAACCATGACCTTTATTCTAAACCTAACCATTAGTGTTACAGACATAACCCTAACCAAAACACAATTTACATCCTAGTCCTAACTAAAACAGTAATCTCCCCCAAGGCATCCTGGCGGAGGTCCCCTCAAGGATGATAGATCCCCAAAAGATTTTAATAGAAAGTGGCCCCCACCATGTAGGAAAAACAAATGCGTACATACACACCGAGCACACAAAGAGACCAACATAATGATATTGAAAGGCTGAAGAAAAGCTAATAAAAAGGCTGAGTTCAGAGAAATGGCACATTGAGTTTTAGTTTGCTTTGAGAATCAAATCTGCAATTGGTTTAATCTGCAACTTTGTGCTTTTATTAACACAGGCTACGTAGAACCCAGTCTGGGGGGTTCCAGCCAGCAGATCAAGAAGCCAGCCAGTTTAGAAGAGGAGGCTTGCGTGCAACCGCAGGGCCGAGACTGACCAGAACCTCTGAATCTAACCCCACATGGTAAAGCAAGTTGTGTTTCTACATTTTCCTATTTTCAGTATATGATGAATAATGTTATATGTCTCTTTATACAATTTGTTGCTGTCAGTGATCTGAATATTCCATTCAGTCAATGGACCAAGGAGCAAGTGTGTAGTTGGCTTGAGGACTATGGACTTGGCCAATACATCAATCTCACCAGACAGTGGGTTGAAAATGGGCAGACACTTTTGTCAGCCACGCCTCAAGATTTTGAGAAGGTTAGAGAACTTTAAGCCAAGCAGAAAATTTAGACATTTATCCATTCATATAGTATATAATTTATCGGAGCCCATCTTTTATTTTATGTTGACCTTTCCTTTTGATTTCAGGAAATGGGTATGAAGCATCCCCTTCACAGGAAAAAGCTGCAACTTGGTTTAAGGGCTTTTACTTCCAAAGTTACAGAGAAATCCTCAGAGTTGGACCACATCTGGGTTACCCGTAAGAGTTTATATGCAACAAATTCTTCTCAAACCTTTCTAAATTTTGTCAGATATAAACTCACAAAGTACTGTTTAAAACACAATGTGGTAGGTAAACCCATTGCATGATAACAAGCAATTTAACATTTGTCAAAACAAAGAGATAAAAGTTTGCAAAGTATTTGCAATAAGGAAGTTTTATAATGTATTTGAGTGAGCACAGTTATGATGCTATTTTTTTCTACATAGGATGGCTGGATGATATCGGCTTGCCTCAGTATAAGGATCTATTTTATGAGGCTAGAGTCGATGGACGGATGATTCAGTATCTAACTGTGGTAAGCTCTAATTGAATGTTTAAACACTTTTTGAATACACCTAAAAATCATTAAGTTGTTTAAGTTATTTTTTTATTTATTTACTTTTGTCATCACAGAATGATCTCTTGACATTAAAGGTCACCAGCCAGCTTCATCATCTCAGCATTAAATGTGCTATTCATGTTCTTCATGTCAATAAGTTCAACCCAAATTGTCTTCGGCGCAGACCTGGGGAAGAGGTTTGTTAACAAAAAAATTATTAAGTTACATAAAAAAGCACTTGGACAGTGCAGACCCTTACATATTGTGACTACCACCTTAGGTTTATCCCTGTATTGACAGAATATTAAAAAAATAAATCCTGGATCATCACCAAAATCTTTTAATTTGTCTCCAGTCCCGATATTCACCCTCTGAATATTTCAGCAAAGTCCATAACGTTTTTATTTTTTAGAAAACAGACAAACAGAATGACAAGCCAATGCAAATAAAGACATAATCTTCTTGGTAGAGGTAAAAATGACATTATACTGAATATTCAGAGTACATCCTTGCCTTATAGATATTCAAATGCAAGAATATTCCTAAAAGGCCTCTGGATATTGGAATGTTGTAATCTAACAAAAAATCCACAAGATGGCAGCAGAGGGGACATGTATTTAAATGCAGCATTGTTTTTGCTTTTAAAAAAATGCTCTTATCATCAATGAGGTATTATACATTATTTTGTTAAGAGTTAAACAGATATTTGTGTAATTTTGGTAGTATATGATTTTAAATATTTGTTTTACTTTTATTCACAGAAACACCCCTCTCCTTCAGAAGTAGTACAGTGGTCAAACCACTGTGTAATGGAATGGCTAAGAGCAGTTGATCTTGCTGAGTATGCACCTAATCTACGGGGGAGTGGTGTACATGGTGGACTTATTGTAAGTACTGTGAAAAAACAAAAAACAAAAAAAAACTTTCTTTTCAGTTTGGTGGTAATATATTGAATAGGATATTGTAACTGCTAATTTGCATGTCTAAAAACAGTTACAAAAATTACATTTGGAAACAAACTGTTTATTATGTGACTATAAGGGGGGTTAGATAATAAAAAATTATTAGCTGGAAACCCATGAGGGCAGTCATATTCTATTATACTTTGGTGAGAGATGTGATCAACCACTTCAGTCAATCCTGGGGGTCCTTTTGATCAGTGGAGGGTAAGAATAACAATAAACAGGCTAAAATAGAAATTATGTTGCATCAAATGGGGCTAATCCTATTTAATTACCCACTTTCCAATCCTAAATTTATTCAGAATCGTATGACAGTAGTGCAGAGCAGTGATACTCATACCCCTGGTGGTCCGCAAATGCATTGCGGACATCAAAAATATTGTATATGCAGAGAACAGCCTTGGATCAGCTGTTTTTTTACACTAAGCTGTTAGACTGACTGACTGACTTAAACTAATTAAGTCAGTCTGACTAAAATTTTTGTTCAGCATTTTGCTCCCAATTACTCAGAGGAGCTCCAGTTTTAAAAAGGCACATTTATAACATTTTTTTTGCATTTATTTTGATTCCTAACTAACTTCCAGGAAACATATTTATTTATTTTTTTTTTTTTTGTTGAGATAGAAAGAATAAAATGTCTAAGAATTAAATGCTTGAATTAAAAGATTAAGTAAAATTGTTTTTATTTTATTATCAGTTATTGTACGTTCCACTTTTGGACAATCATAAATAATTATGACTGAGGTGGGTACTCAGGGTAAGACAAAATGCCCAAAGGGGTACACAAGAGAAAAAAGGTTGGGAAGCACTGATCTAGAGAGACAAAAAAAACAGGGTTTCAGAGAAGAACATTTCCCATTTGCAATAATTTTTATAGGTTGTGGCTTTAACATAAATAATAAAAAAATATATATATACATATTTTCTATTTTCTGTGTTAGGTCGAAATATTTTATTTTTTTGCCCCCTTTTTTTGTCCATAGATCCTGGAGCCTCGGTTTAGCTCTGAGACTTTGGCCCTGCTTTTAAATATTCCTCCACAAAAGACTTTGCTTCGACGTCATCTTGCCACTGCTTTTGCTGCCTTGGTTGGGCCTCAAGCCATGCAGGAGAAACGGGACTATGGCAATGCCACAGGCCATGTACCACTTACTACCACTGCTAAAGTAAAAGTAAGATGCCCATTTAAATAAATCGTTTGGTCACTGTTGTTAGAAGAAAAAAATCTTGATATCATAATGGGTGAGTATTGTGTTTAACCATTTGTGTTCTTTCAGCCTAAGAAGCTGGGCTTCACCCAATTCAGTCATCTCAGAAAGAGGAAATCGGATGAATCTGCAGACTACATATGCCCAATAGACACTGAGGCACTAAAAGTGAATGGAGTTTCTCGCTTGCTTTCATCCCACAGAGGCTTCAGCTCAACTTTGGACAGACGAGTTGAAAAGGGGCAATCAGCAGGTCTAAAAGCTCAAACAACAGATCCAGTTGATACCTGAATAAACACACATAATTCTGGATCTTTCAAACATATGCTGACTTAAACTTTCAAGAAAAAATTATTTGGCTTTTCACCAGGACCTATTTATCTTGGGATCTGCTGGATGGGCTGAAAATGAGATTTTGAATACAAGTAACAACTGTTTTATTTCTCACAGCTTTATTTTTTATTATTTTTTCAGATGTGATTTCAAAGCTATCAATATTTAAGTGGTAATAATACATTATGCCAAAAGTATTTGTTTGCCTACTTTTTACATACACAATCAATTTTATGACTCTATTTTTATTTTATGGGGTCCAATGTGTTGATGGACCTCCATTCCGAGCAACAGAAACTTTTACTATTCTGTAAACATCTTCTGCAAGGGTGGGTGTTTAGAGTGGAGAAAATAGTTAGAAGAAGACCAGAATTGCAGCGTCCTCTTTTCTTGATCCCAGTGCTTTGTAGGGTGGGCCACGACATATTGGAGGCAGTCAAATTTTACATCACCAACCTTGATACAAAACGCAAAAGATCTAAATTCAATAAGTTATTGGTTTGATCCAATGCATTTATTTATGTATTCTGGCTTTTTTGTGAATAGTATAGAAAAGGCTGCTCAGTGCATTCCTAAAGAATATTGATTCCGAAGCTTACCCCATTGCTTTAGAAATATTTTATTGGCCATTTTGTACTTTCTTTATGTCAGAATATTTTGATGTATATCAGGATTGTCTGTACGGCATAATAAATGGCATTAGGTTCCTCAAGACAGTCCTTTCTTTATGTCTGTCGGTGTGTGTGTGTTTGTGTGTATGCGGCGGGGGGGAGCTCTGGATTTTGAATTCTTTTCGAGTTTTCTACCCCTGGTATTGCGTTTGTACTTAGAAAAAGAAAAAAAAAAGTATTGGACGGCTTCATGGCCCCGAGTGAGTTCATTTTTTAACTCCCTTCAGCTATTAGTCTCTTTATCATCTTATTTTGAAATTCACTGGGATATTTCTGAAAAAAAAAAAAAAAAAAAAAAAACACGAAGCAGCACCTAGAGGCTAACTTTCCAAACAGAAAAGGGATGGTTGGTACATAGAATCATTTTGTGGTTAAAGTGTAAACATATACTGTAAGGTGAATTCTAAATATATTCCTGGGAGCTTAGACATGAAAAATAACTTCCTTTTTAACAGCAAAGATGTTTTCTGCAACTATTTAATGTGACAGCTCGGCTTGCTTGTTTGAACGAAGCAGCTTTTTGGCTTTTGTTAGACATGGCCACACAGAGATCACCCTCAAATCTGAGGAGTCGTGATCTGTACTTTTGTTTCATGTATGTCTGTGCAGATATGTGGGTGCAAATTGACACAGTGCATCAGTTGAAGTTTTCTAAAGTGCTGGGTACTCTGTTGCTACTAACAACCAGAACTTTTTCAGCACGCATGCGCACACCTAAGAGTCTGTAATGTATGATCAGAGGAGAGGTCGAGCAGGGCTTCTTGCATCTCTGATGACAGGTGATGCGAGATGATGGTGAAAGGCTGCCCTATAGATAGATAGATACTTTTCCAGCATGTCATAATTTGGGGAATACCTTTTGAAACTTTTAAGCAATTTCCTGAGGTGGCAATACTTTTTTCATAGTTTGTATGTTTATGTCATTACTCCCCATAAAGACTTCAAGCTACATTTCACCACTTTCCCCATCAAGTTGGACAGCCCACAACTCCAGCGTCCTTCTAAATGCTGTGAACTTAGTGGACAGATTCAGTGTTTAGTTACCGACAGCAACTGGCTTTGTGATAAAATGCCTGAGACAACCGCTCACCTCCCTTCTAATGTCTGGTCAGAAGTTACATTAATTTTGCACATATATATTTTTCTAAATGATTAGGCAATTCACAGAAATCATCTTGTGACACCAATTGGGGTCTATACCCTAAGGTTGAGAATGTCTGTTTTAGATAATCAAATAATGCTATCTGTAGATAGATCTGTAAATCTGTCGGTGTTGGCATGTAGCTGCGGTATGGAACAGAAAAAAGAAAGTTTCTTAGAATTACTCTGCGGGGAAAAAAGATCATAGTATATAATATTGTTTTGAGTTAAAAACAAAATAAAAGCTTAAATTATTAGCTAAAAGTATGCTTCTCAGCACCTTTTTTTTATTATTTACAGCATAATTTGTTTTTGTTAGTAATTTCACATTCAATTTACATACTTTTTTTTGTTAATGAATCATCTTTGTAACAAAACTTAATGTTCCCAGTAATTTAGTTTGTTACAGTACTTGTCAACATTTGATTAACATGCTGGCAGATCTCTACTAGTCTAAACTGACTAAAAGTGGCAGTGCTTGGTCAAAAGCTCACTTAATAATAAGTAGTTTATCCATTCCAGTCCTGTAAGTGAAAAAGTGTACTTTAAATAACATTTTTAAAATCAGTTGAAGATTGTGTAAAATAGTGGGTTGTGTGAAACAGGTGTTGCAGAGAAATAAAGGCTACAAAAATGGCTTTACTTTTAAAATACAAATGCATTGTCTGCAAATCTTAAGCATAACAATAACGGCAATTGGTATTATTGCTAATCTGGTTCTAACAAAACAACAAAACTCTTTTAGCTTTAGATACTATCTAAAGCTATATATACTGATAAACTTTTAAAAGAAATTTGAGAGATATAGGAGCAATAGTTGGCATATTTTACTATTTTAATAAAATTTGTTTCTCAAGTATAGAAGTAAAATTTTTATTATGCACAATAAAATAAAAATTGTTAAATGAGAAGGATAATCATAATATAACATTTCTATCAATCCTTTTAAACCAGCAGGTGTCAGTGTTGCCTTGGAAGTCTTACAGAAATGGCACCAATTATGAGCTTATATCTTTAGTTTCAGTTTCAACATTTATGATTTAGCAGAGAAGAAATATGATCAATTTTACTTTGGTGTAACAATTTCATCACCCAATTTGCTCTGTAGTCTTGAAAAGTCAAACAATAAACTCATTTTTCAGTGCGTGAATTGCAGAGTATGAGAATTTCAAGTTTCTTTTTCACTCTAATTGTAAAATAAGTGAATATTTGGTTTGTTAGACTTGTTAGACTTTTTAAGACAAAAAAAATAAATAAAAATAAACTCAAGTCAAACCTTTATGACTTAACCTTTTTTTTTTTACTTCTTTGCGTAGAGAGGTTGGCTTTGTTTATAATAGAGTATCTTGGGCTAATTTCAGTAATGTGATTTAGCCTGCACCCGCTGACAGTTTAATAGCTCTTATTTGTGTCACTCTCTCTCATAATGCCCCAGCTATAAATTGTTATGTGCAGTGAAGTAAGATTTGACTGACATCTTACCTTGCAATATGGCATCTATTGTTTTAATTAAGTGAAAGTGTTAGTGAAATTTATTGGTTTTGAAGTTACTTGTTAACAACTCCAAGACAAAAACAGTGAAATGGAATCATTATGGTTTACATTACATACATAATTTGTCAACCATTGCAAATGATTAAACATTATCTCACAGTCATTGTCAATTCATCTGCTACTCCGCTGTATCACATGGTTTTGATCTTTTTTTTTCTTATTATTCTTCATTCAGCTTTTTCCCTTCAGTTTTTTGTTTTTAATACCATTTTGTTCATTCTAATAAGAGGCCAGTTTGGGGTTATTTCACTAACAAGTCTATGTATTTTTTTACTTTTCCCTTTTCTGCCTGATCAATGGACCCTTTCAGATGATTAGTGGACTTAATCATATTTTTATCTGATGTCTCTGGGCATTCCTTTCAGTAAAATACCACCAGCTGGCCAGTTAAGGTAACATATTTTATATTAAGTCAATACTTGTGCCGGATACTCTCTACCAAGCCACTGAAGCTGAATCTGTCTCAGCCACACCAGTTTGTTCTGACAGGCCTGCCACAATGATGACTACATCATCCAGATGCGGCACAGTGCCTCTGAGCCAGTGCTGACATCTTGTCTAAAGGAGCAGCCAGTTGTCTACACCAGTTTCCTTCTGACCCATCAAACCTCAGAGCCTCATCTCATTTCTTACAACCAGGAAACATCACCCATGCTGGTTGCTCATTTTCCCTTTCTCCAAGATGAGTTCACTCAACGTGACAGAATTGAGTCGCTTTTTAATTTTTTGCAATATTTTGCAGCTTCAAATTTTTAAATTACCCAAAGACATGTTGAACTCACTGCAATAAACTTTATGAGAGCGTTAGTCTTGAAAAACATGTCAGAAACAGAAGATAATTTTATAGAAGAACAAAGTACATAATAACAAATTTTATCTTTTTATGTTCACTTAAAGATGATCCTGTTAAAAAAAGGATTAAAACTCAAAAATATTAGTTCAACACCCACAACAGTTATTACCTGATATAAATATTGGATTACTAAAGAGAGACAGCAGGCGCAAATCGTGGCAGAGAGCCTGCCACTGATTTCTATGACCTGCCCCAACACCGGAGCGGGTGCCAGACAGCCCTGCTGTCTATTTTGGCTATTTTGAATGACAGCCACGCTGCAGCAGATCGTTGCCAATAAATGACTTTTGAGGGTACAGTTACATTTCCCAGAGTACTTAATATGGACAACAGAGAACAAATTGAAACCCTTCAGGCCATGTAAAATTGGAAGGGAGATTACGATGAGAACTCTCCAGCCAAACTTTTATCTTTGGTTTTTAGAAATGACTACAACAAGCTCTGCTCTGTCATTATTAATCTGCAAAATCTCAAGGTTTTTGCAAGATTTGGGGAACAATTACTACTCTTTGTGGCAGGATTGTCAATTATCAAGTTATGGCAGCCAATGTATCTGCTCACACTTTTTGTTTCTACCATGGCATCTTCTGGCATCCTTTGGTGTCTTCTTGGCCAGATAATTCTACAGATTACCAGCATGTTTTTAAGTGATTTTCTTTTTCTGCAACAACCCAGCTAAGCTCTAAGCTGCAGTGAGTCTTTGCCATGATTTCAGCACGCCATATAACCTACATACCATGTATTAGGACATATATTTAATATATGAAGTATACAATCACTCATATTGCTTTCAGTAAAAAAAAAAAAAAAAAAAAACATTTTCAGGGTATCCTCTCTACACCTATTGATTGCTTGAGTCTTGGCACTGAAACAAAAGAATTCAAAAGACATAGTTTGAGTGTAAGGTTATTGTACTTTTGGATACACCTACCCATGATCTGAATCCAAATAGAAATTCGTATTTAAACTTAAAAAAAAAAAAAGAAGTAAATATATTTTATATTAAAAGTAGTGACTTGACTAGGTCAAACTGGATTTGTTATTGTCCTATTGGAGCAATTCCATCAGCCAGTTTTCTTTTGAAAAGCTGGAATCAGGCACAACCTTAACACATTCATAAACTTTTGAAGAAGTATATAATTGGCAGCCTTAATTCACTCTATGTATTGAGGAACGGTTTATGTTTACAAGATTCACAGAACCACAATGATGTTTTAGAAACTAGACTATTTGCTGTAAATGACAGAAGCATGAATTGAATTCCGTTTTCCAGTAGAAAATTGTAAAGGCGAATGTCCTAAAATGTCCAGAAACAGAAAACAACCCACCCAGGGTGGGCGGAGGGGGAACCAGGGAGGCAGGCACGAAAACAGAACAGAGTCCGAAAACCAAAACAACCCACCCAGGGTGGGCGAGGGCAACGAAAAGTCTCTGGAGGCCGGCCATGGGGCCGGAGGCGAGGCAGAGTCTCTGGAGGCCGGCCGTGGGGCCGGA